GTTTTAAGCCTAGCCTTAAAAGTAGACAGGGTGTCTGCCTCACGGACTAAAACTGGTAGTTGGTTCCACAGGAGAGGAGCCTGAGAACTAAAAGATCTGCCTCCAATTCTACTTTCAGAAATTCTAGGAACCACTAGCTGATGATCGGGGGACTCCATTTGTAAGGGTTATGCAAGTGATCAAAAATGCTAACTTGCCCTATAAAGGGTTAAATCAGCTAGCCAAGTGTCCACCCACAAGACATCATTGGTGCCCATTGATTATGCTTGTCTTTTTCTGCCTCTTTCATCACAGGGACAACTGAGAGAGTTTGTCTGATACAGGGTACTGTTGAAGCCCTCAATAGTGTGCACAACTTCATCGCGGAGAAAGTCCGTGAGATGCCCCAGAGTGCCCAAAAACCAGAACCTGTCAGCATACTGCAACCGCAGACCACGGTGAACCCAGACCGCGTGAAACAGGTAAGGTTCTGTTCAACCATTGAACCTGTCTTACCCCAGTTAGCAGCTGGATCCTTGAAAGTGAAGAATAAAGCCTCTTTTCAACTAAAAATAGCGCATCAATGACTGTTTCTCAAACGTGGGTCGACCCGCTAACAATCGGCAATCCATTTTGCTCCCTTCCCACTGGCATAAAAAGCTGGTCTAACCCCTCGCTGGAAGCTGCGTGGCCTCTCTCCCTCCGCCACTGCGTGTTTGGTGACATCATCACACTGGATTAGCGTTGATGATGTCACCAGTGCAATAGAAATCAGGAAAGTAAACAGTGGAGAGCATAATGGAAGGAAGCCAGGGTTTAGTCAGTGTGCTTTATTGTTTCTCTTTATTATCTGTCTGAATTCCTCTCACCAGAGCTGCTCCATGTTTAGAGAAATGGAAACAGAGTTGATTCTCCTTGTTAGATCAGAAGCGACTGGGCGGTGTGTTGACCTCCGTACGATGTGTTCAATGGCGTTATGTAATTTAGAGGGTCGACCCAGCTCTGGTGTTCCCAAGGCATGCCGATCAGAGCCGAGGTGATTTTAAAGCGGGTCGCTTGCCGAGTCGTTTGACCCGGGTAGACACACATCAGTGGGCTGTTCTCACTGACACTAAAATAACCATTGCTCCCGGGTTTAAACAGGTTTTTCAGCCAGTGGGAAAAGGGTATAATTGACCCATACTGTTGTCGCTGGTAGATAGACTGTAGTCCCTGTAAACATGGCGTAGCTGATATTGTTGCAGCCATCTCAGAGAGCTAAGCAGTAGTTGGATTCACCAATGATGCATCCGGTTATGAGATGATTCAATATTTAAAATGTTTCTAGCAAGCAGTATGAAGGTGTGGAGCAGTTCTCTTCTCAAACGTCTCTGACTGTGACCTACAGTGTGGCAGGGTGAGGAAAATTTGAGTGTATGTGGTTATTTTTACCTGCAGTCATCCATAGTTGGATAGAACCATGTGGCAGTGTGGCAGCTGCAGCCTAAACCCCCGGGATTAACAAACTGCTGAGTAAAGCGAGGGCCGCTGTAGTACTCTGACTCAGTCAGAGATCTGTTTACTGTTAATGCTGTTCAGTGCTCCTCATGTTGCCTGTTTTTGCTACCACCATCTTTCTATTTCTCTGCAGGCCAAATTAATTGTACCCAACAGTACAGCTGGACTGATCATTGGTAAGGGTGGTGCCACAGTGAAAGCAGTGATGGAGCAGTCGGGAGCTTGGGTGCAGCTCTCCCAGAAGCCGGAAGGCATCAACCTGCAGGAACGAGTGGTGACCATCAGCGGGGAACCTGAACAGAACCGTAAGGCTGTGGAAATCATTGTGCAGAAAATCCAGGAGGACCCTCAGAGCAGCAGCTGCCTGAACATCAGCTACTCCAACGTCTCCGGCCCAGTGGCCAACTCCAACCCCACCGGCTCCCCTTACGCCAACACAGCCGAGGTGCTGCCCAATGCGGCCGCGGCAGCAGCCACTGCCTCCAGCCTTCTGGGCCAGGCCGGATTGACAGGAATGGGTGCCTTCCCTGCCACCATGTCCAGTTTCTCTGGCAACGATCTGCTGGCCATCACCTCAGCCCTGAATACCCTGGCCAGCTATGGCTACAATACTAACACCCTGGGCCTGGGTCTCAACCCCGCAGCTGCCTCTGGAGTCCTCGCCGCAGTTGCAGCTAGCGCTAACCCCGCTGCTGCTGCTGCAGCTAACCTGTTGGCCTCCTATGCTAATGATGCCTCCAGCAGTGCTGGCCACCCCGCTACTGGCCTTGGTGGGTTCTCCCTGGGCTCTCTAGCAGCTGCTACCGGAGCTTCCAATGGTTACCTAAATGCTTCATCCCCATTAATGGCTTCCTCCCTGTTGGCAACAGAAAAGTTGGCAGACGGAGCCAAGGACGTGGTTGAAATCGCTGTGCCCGAGAATCTTGTGGGAGCTATTCTGGGGAAAGGAGGGAAAACGCTGGTGGAGTACCAGGAGCTGACAGGAGCCCGTATCCAGATCTCCAAAAAGGGAGAGTTCATTCCAGGGACTCGGAACCGTAAAGTTACAATAACAGGGTCGCCGGCCGCCACACAAGCAGCGCAGTATCTGATCAGCCAGCGGATCACGTACGAGCAGGGCGTGCGCGCCACCAACCCACAGAAGGTGGGCTAAAACCAAGCGAAGGGAACAGAAGAAAAGGATGAGGACAGAAAAGGAAAGGAAAGAAGAGAGTCAAGAAGAGTAGAAAAAAAAAAGAAATGTCCAAATATATGTTCAATATTTCAGTATATGATGAAAGAGTTACAAAGGAGGAGGCGGGGGAGACAACCAAGATAAGTGTGTGTGATTTGTGAGTGTGTTTTTAGGACAGAAGTCCTGATGTTTTTTAAAAGTTTGTGTCAAGTCCTTTTGACAATGGTGATCAGAGTAAGCTGAACTGGTCCACTGCCAAGTCGCAGATTCAGGCGCGAGGCCGCGGGGTCTCGCCCTCCTCTAAACCTCATTACTGTCTCATTTCTTTCTTTGGAGTGATTGTTTTTGTTGGATTTCAGACGGTCTGAGACGTCGGCTCCCGGTGAGCTGAGCGTGTCGGACGAAGATCCGGCTGTTTTACAAAACCTTGCTCTTTGCTGTCAATGCAGAAGGCATTGTTAACAGGGGGAGGGGTTTAACAACAAGCACCTGAACTCATCTCAGCTATTTAGGGCAGCAGTCCAAGTATAGTTTCTTTACAAATAAACAAAATCACATCTATGTGGACATGTCTTGAATTCTAGCTCATTTCATAACTGAAATGACTCAATTTGGGTATTTTATATTTGCATCCTTTAACTTATCGACATAGTCTCATCCAAACACGCGTCGATTATTTAAACCTGTGGTTGCAGGTTGATCTGAATGTAAAAACAATTTGCGCCTGTTGCTATTTTTTTTTTACAGGGATCAAACATTGTGTTGCAGTGAAAGAAATGTATAAGTCACCCCAGCCTGTACTTGCTGTCTGCAGGTGTAGTTCAAGGGTTCAAGACTCAGTGTGAGAGGACAGAGGAGACACACAGGAATGTATAAAAAACACAAACAGGCATAGAGAATGCTCCCACAAACGCACAAACTCTCCGACGTGACATTATATTCCGCCACTGCTACGAACACAAAGAAACGTGTTGATGATTAACCCTTTCTTGGTGCTATAGGACTTCTATCTCCTTTACGGTGGAATTCAAAACTTTCCACTTGAGTTTCCACTTGGTTTAAAGTGTCGTCCAGCCATTGGTAGCCCACTGGACCCGACCCAGCTTCATACCCAACGACTGTCGATTGATTTCTATCAACAAAAGCAGTCTAGCTGTTCTAATACAAACCTGTTGTTTTGTAATACTAGCTGAACATTTTGCAGAAGAAAACTCCTGACATACGTTTGCCTTAGCCAGACATTTGGAACACCAAGAATCAAGCAAAGGGTCAGACCTCCTGAGAGCAGTGGCAGAAAACAAAGCACTACAAAGCATTTTGATAAGAAGAGCTGGAAGAACCTTTATCTGTGAACTACGAAGCGATTTCCATGCAGTTACCAAATAGTGGAGCCACCTGCCTGTGGGCAATGCTTCCTGATTTCCATCAAGACAAAAAGAAACACAGGGAATTAAGATGAATATTATTGTTCCCAAAGTACATAAACGCTGACGTAGAGCATATATTGAAACCTACGATGTTTTGGGATCGTTATCTTTCAGTGCTACTAGCTAGTCTGACAGTGACAGGCCCAAAAGTAAGAAGCTCTGGTCCCCTCTGTGCTGCTATCCATAGCGTTCATCCCGACTCTTTAAAGTCTGCACTGTGAGGCATTTAGACCACCATGTCTGTCCTGCTAGGGACGTGAATACATACATTTATATATATATATATATATATATGTATATATATATATGTACACACATACACACACATTTATGTCACCAGATCTGCAGAGCCGGCCCAAAACTCCAACCTATTAACTTCTTCAACATATGTCCAATATATTACCTGTTGGACAATTTTAGTCCACAGTTTCCATTCAAATGTAGTTGAAGCTATGACGTAACTTTTATATACATTTATTTTCGCCTTTCTCTTGTCAACCACTCTGTCTTGTTTTCACAGGCCAGTTGAACGCTTGTTTTCTTGATGAGTTAAATAAGATGCTATAAGTTAAGTTAAAAGTCAGCAGGGGGCAAAACATTAAATATGTCTGAATCTTGATAAATAATTAGTCTTTTTTTAAATTATTAACATTTTTAATAGGAATTTCAATTTAATTAAACATTTAATGTATTAAGTATTTCAATTCTGACAGATTCATTCATTGATACTCTTCATTTGGAGGAAAAGGTTCTCGGTTTGATGCAGACAGCAATGGTGGATCATGGTAATTAAAGCTAATAACAGGCTTTTTCAATAAATTCCTTTTTTTAACAGTTAGTAATGTTTGAAATCATATGAAATTATTTTAACTTCGAATAAATCTTGATTGGTGATGGCCTCTGAACTGATTTGAACATAAACGTTCCTGTGAAGCATAGACTTGGTGGTGTGATGCTGCGGTAACTCGTCAACTCTTTGTTTCAGTTTGGACAAACCCTTTTTTTCCCCCAAAGCCTCTATTTTTTCATTTCTGCCCAATGAACAAATCCTCCATCACTTTTCAACAATCGCTCAATGCATTCTTACCACTGGATGTAGAGGTGAGCCGCATTACCGCCACCTACTGGCCTGGAGGGCGTGAATGAATTTTTACAGGTTCACTAAAAATATAGATCCTAGAAATGTGCAAGAAAATGAATAATATTAATAATATAAATCCATTTTTATTCTGTAAATAAATTCATAGTTCACAACTATAACTATACTGATCGATGCTAGTTTTAATTTTTTGTTTCTCCTGCTTGTGTCTCTGCTGCTGCCGAGCAAATAAATTATTCTAATTTAGGATGTAAAGGTTAAGTAAAAACTGTGATTAGGAGGGAATTTAGTTAAATAATGAATCATAATAACTGGAATGGGCCCCCAATGTGGTTTGGTTAGGGCCCCATAGAATCCTGGGCCGGCTCTGCCTCCTGGTACCAACAGAGGGGATTTCTCCACATGTGTCTCTTTTACTCCAGCACCTTTTGATCTTTGCTTTTATTAATTAGTGAGCGTTTTCCGTCCCTCCCTGCGGCGTCCTCTCCTGTCCATCATGTTGCTCTCTGACATTTCCAGTAGGCACCATCAACACAAGCTCTATGATCAGTTTCCTCAATGCGAAGCTGTGAGGGCCGGTGCTGAGTCGTGTCCAGGAAATCTACATGCTTCCAGTTGTAAGAGAAGCTGATCGATTGACTTTGTTTTCTTTTAGAATTCATGCATTAAAGTTGTCAGATTTCAAAGTATTTGAAACAACTCTGTGTGTCGATGTTGTGCGTGGCGAAACGAGCAGCGAGGCTTTCTTCCCAGCTCAAATCTCTTCCTCTCACTAGCGCTTGGAGGCCTTGCAGTCATCCATAGCTACAATCTGGCCACCTGTGAAATCATTGCATAACAGAACCTTTTACTGCCCAAGATTTTAGCATATAATGAGATACAAGCACAAAACGGGGGTGTTTTATCAATGCAACTGGACTGTTGGACTCCAGAGAGCTCTCCTTCAGAACTCCCTGATCAATACGTTGCGCCAAAATCTGCTTTCTCTCCCTCTCATTAGATTTCCTCTCCACATTTTCTTCCCCGGAGTGTCCTGCGTCCCCCGGCCCCTCGCCGGGCGCTCCTTCCTTCCTACACTGTGCTCTCCCCCTCTTTCTCCTCCCCTCGTGTCTTGTCGTCTCATGGGCGATGCGTTGGACGCACTGTGGGTGGGAGTTATGCACTACGGGTCGTAGGGGTATGAAAATGTTTTCCCAGGCCACAGAGTTCACAAGGCTAAAATGCACAGAAACCACCTGCCTCCAAAACTGTGACACCCACCGAGACCAACCAGCAACGTTAGCTCAACGTGTCAAATGTCCTCAGCGTGAGGAACTGGACAGATTCGGACAGGCCTGGCATTTTCAAAGGAAGGTAATCTGGGTTGTTTTTTTTTTCTTCTTTTTTTTCCAAAAAAAAAAAAGGCAAATCCTGGTAGGAGGAATATTAATTAGATGGTTGAGCTCTAGACTGAATATTTCAGACAGAATGCATAAGACAGCAAGAGAGAGCGACTAGTTAGTGACCTCAAGCCGAAACAGTGACATCCTTTATGCATATCCTGCTATCTGAAAATGACTCGAGCTCATTTCTGTGGAATACGATATGTCACGTCATATGATCTATATGTACTTTATTGTAGCTATTCTAGTTTGTAGTCCAAATGCAGTCCAGCGTTGTCAATACAATGTGAAACTATGTTATATCTGTGTGGATGATGAGAGTGCCGACTAAGCCTGACTAAGATTAGCTTCGCAGTTTGTTTGTGCATTATGACGCCTCATCATCGGGCGGTGGTGTCCATATTCCTGTCACTGAAGATTTAGTTTGACAGTAAGAAAAATGTTAAGAATATTGGAAGCAATATAGTAGCATGTTGTCCTGTTTTGTGTTTTATGTCTGTTGTATGGACTTTTGAAATTACTAAGATTTTGAATGAATAGGTTTACATGTACTTCTTTTTGTAAGTTATGAAAATGCTGCTATTTGATAAGTAAACTATACAAAAATATTTTAGTGGAAAAGATGTCTGGTCTGTTGATTAGAGATGTGCTCCGACAGGGAGGAGCATAAACGGAGGTGTATAGGAAGCTATACGGTATTGGTAAGATAGAAAAGTAATAATAGACTCCATAGTATGACCTGTGCCAAACTAGACCTCTGCAGCTTCTGAAATTGTAGATGTGCGATCAAATGTTAGATATCAATAACATGTTTAGAAGTGCTGATCAAGTGCCAATCAAACACTATCTTTTGAGTTAAGAAAAGATAATCAAATACATTACTTAAGAAAACAAAGGACAAAGAATTTTTTTGTGCATCGTTTTATCCCATAGGTACATAGAGTAAGAGTTAAAGATTGTGATTTTTTATGGATCCATGTTGTTTTACCCTCCATGCATCCTTGTGTGTTTGTTTGACCTGTGGCTTTAGTACCGCTGTTTTCCACTAATGTCTCTATAGGCCAGCATGGACTAAGCATAAACATGTTATAAGCATCCATAACATAGCCATTAACAATCAAACAATGTGTTTGTGGAGTTCGGTGTTATCTTTTTGCACGTCTTCTATTGCATGGTATCAAAGTAAAATTATGGAGGAAAAAAAAAGAAAAAAAAAGAAAAAAAGTCAAAAAACGTGCGAGGCGTCTTCTCGCAACATTCAGAGACATAAGCGCTGCATGCGGTCAGATGTATATCTCTTTAAGTTGAACTCACCTCATGTTAAAACTGTTGATCTTTACGTTGGGAGTTGGGAGGGAGCTCATTATCGTCATGTTGGCCCGAAAAGAACAAAAAAAAAACATGAACACACATCTGAGATGGGATTTCTCATGGGTCGGACTCATCTCTAACCATCATCTGAGAAGATCTGATGTGTTTTTTAGATCTAGAGGAGGATTCAAATGTGAAACAAGCAAACCTGAAAATGTTACTCAGTGCATTGGCTCTTTGTGTTTCTAGGATCTCAGTCAGATACTTTAACCGCGTTTTTCTGTCGCAGCCGTAAAGCCCAGATCTACTCTATGAATGTACTCATTTCTTCTGTTCTTCGGTTCTGTTCCGGTTCTGTTGAATGTCTGTCTGTCTGTCACGTGACGCCACGGCAGGAATGTCCACTACATGTAAAGTGAAAACCTTTTTTTCCAGCTCCAGTCAGGTAGGCCCCACACGGCCGCAGTTATGAACCAGATATGCGAACACAACTTCCGATTTGCTGTCAACATTTTCCTGTTTGTTTGATGTTGCATAAATGCACTTTATTGATGGGCGGGAGGGAAACGAAGCAAACCGTGTTGGCTTTCCACAACCATGTTGCTGTCATCCTTTGTTCTGATTTGATTTGCTAGTCTGTGTCGGAAGTCCAGGAGGATGGGAAAGGCTGGAATCTCAGACAAATAGAAAAGTAGCTCCTGTTTTCTCTCTCCAAGGCTCCTCTGCCACATTCCCTGCAGGGCGGCACAACCAATCATCTCCTTCCTTTAGATTCTCAAATTCCAAATTTATTTTTTCTTGTGTTGCCAGAAAATTTGGGCTTTAGCCGTGAAGTGAGCGGCAATGTTACTGTCAGATCTAAGAGGGTTTTTTTTTTCTTTTTTTGGCACCAGCAACATAAAGAGAGACTCTGGTAGCTGGGACTGGTGGAGCCTTGTTGGTTCCAGTGATTTTTCTGTTTCCCTGTTCTGTGTTTCACACCCAGACCAGTTGGCAGCATCATTCCAAAGGTGATTGTGTTTTTGATTTTCTGGTCAGTCATGATCCGCTCCCTGCGGAGCCCCTACAGGAAGGCCAAGACTGGTTTGGAACCGGTTCCGGCCGCTCACTCCTCTCTTTGAACCAGTTCTACCTGAGTCTCTGCATCGCTCCACGACTTGTGATTCATTACACCGAGAACCTGCAACTGTGTCCGCCCCTTTAAACGGGAAATCTAATAGGATTCTTAACAAACCAGACATGAGGCCATTACTGCTCTTTGACCATCAACACCTCCCATGAACTTTGTTGCTCTTCGACATCCTCAGAACTGGTGTCCGTTGGAGATGAAACTCTTAGACTCTGAAGACTGTTCTGTTGTTTGTTTTTCTTTGATTTAAAGCTTGCTTATGTGGAAAACGTGAGGAAGCACGTCTGTACCGTGATACGGTTTCATGTTCTTTACTTTCTGGGTTATGCTTTGATGCTGTTTAATCTCTGTTCG